AATTGTTTTTATTAAATTACCAGGTCAACGGTCGTTGATTTTCTGCTACAGGTACATTAATTTGTGGTAATATTATTTCTTTTTCTCTTTCATCTAACTGTAAGTGCAAGCTATAATTTAAAGCARTATTATGTTGAATAGCATAACATATAATTATCAATGTTGAAGTATTTAGTTTTGTGCAAAGTTTCCTACATAAACATCGAAATCTACTGTTGAGGACTCCATTTACACGCTCTATAACATTCCTTGTTTTTATGTGTGCCTTATTTTATTTATTGTYTGCAGTACTTATAGGCATACATTTTGGTGTTATAAATACTTTGTCTGGGCATAACCAATATCACCAATTAGATATCCTGTATATAYGCCAGACTCCATTACACTCTTAATACGACTGTCATGTATTGATCCTGGCCACCTACAAACTACATCTAAAATTTTCATATCTGGTACACAAACTATTTGGGTATTGATGGACATCCATCCTTTCCGGTTACAGTATATTTCAGAATTATTCTCCTCCTGGATTCTTAATTGGAATATGGGTGCAATCTATTGCAACTATTACACCAGGGAATTTTGCAACATCATAAATTGTTGTTTAATTTCTTGCGACTGTTGTATCGTTGGAAGTTTAATCCACTTAATTATATTTGTTGTTGATGCCATAAGTTTTGATATCTCTCTGATAATACAACTTACAGTACTTTGTGATAAACCTAGAATATYTCCATTTACCCGCTGAAATAAATCAAAGGTTTTATTTATTAAATGTTTAATTAGCTATTTGTTAATTATTATTATATATTACTTTTTACAATTTACTTATTTATTGTTAAATTAAAATTATTAAATTAAAATTATTAATTATTATTTATTAACTTAAATTAATAAACAATAATTCAGTGATTCACTATGACAAACCTGATAATTACCAGATGCATAAAATCGTAATGCTTGTACATATACCTTACAAACAATGCACCATGATAAACAAATTTATCTTTTATAAATAAAAATGAACTGTCACTAAATTTCGTCTACATGTCACTACAAAATGCCTTGACTGATTTGCTGAGTTTTGTTTTTAATATCATGACAAGTTTTGTCTGAAAGACAATTTTAAGAAAATTCATTAGAAAGTAGGAAATTTGATGTCAAAAATATAACAGTTGTACATCTGCTCAGCTTAATAAAATAAAAACCCTTTATTTTAAGATATTCAACAGAAAAGTACTGGATATATGACACTACAAACTATAACTAATATCTATTGATATAAGTTGGTGAAAATRATAATATGATAATCCTAATTCTATTTTTTTTGCCCATTTTCTGCAAAAAGCTGGAAACTGTGCAGTCGCCATCAATGAAAACTACCAGATTAAATGATTAAAATATAATGATCCTGGTCACATTGATTACGACAGAGATCTTTTCATAATTTAAAATATATCACGGACTGAGATTTACCTTGAACATTATGAACGCCCCAGGTACAGCTAGTTAGGATAAGGTTAAGTTAGAACGAAATATAGTTAATTTTTTTCAATCTGTAAATTATATTAAATAATTATTTGGGGTTATGATGGGGTCACTAGATAGTGATATATATATAAATATCTCAACTAGATACCATAATATGGAACAAACAAAAATAAAAGTAATAAACTAATATTTAGAGTGTAATTAAAAAACAAGACAATATTAAATTTATAAAATCAGAAAATTTATTTTGATTTAAACTGAGAAAAAGGTGAATAAGTAGGTATACACCTCTGATACAGATCAAATGGTGTGTGGATGACTGTAATGGATATTTTTTTAAATTTAAATTCAATTATATTAAATAATTGTGTACGAAAAACAATTCTAAAGGAAGACATTCTATCAGCTTATATTATTTACTAAGTATATTT